CTCTGCTCTCAAGTGGGGCATATTTCTCCTAATAAATATCCAGAAATCTGGCTACATGTCCAAACAAAGCATCGGATTAAGGAAGACTGGGTTAACTGGAACTGATAGAGGGCAGCGCTGAAAAGGAAGCCTGCACCTGTCCGGCATTAACACGTAGAAACAGATGCTGAAGCGCCGCGTTAGGTCATTTTGTACTCGGCTGCCTCCGAAGTCCTTATTTCTTTAGAAAACTCCTGCTGAATTCCCTCCCTTATAATTCAAGCCTTCACTTCACTCAGATTTTGTAGGCATAGGATACAGTGGTCTCCATTATATTTTGTTGTATGAAACATGGTTTTTTAATTAATTTATTTATTGTAATTTTCTGATTTATTTTTAATTTTTTTCAATTACAGTTTACATTCAGTATTATTTTGTATTAGTTTTCTTTGTTAAGAGGCTATATCACTATTTTATTCCATCGGAATCTTTCCTTCCCACCCCTCGGAATCAGCCATCACAACCCCTTAACTGTGCAGTAGAAATGGGGGGGGGCTGGTAGCTTCCAGCCCCAGAGTAAACGTGGGAGGAAGTCGTCCAAACCTCACCATCTCACCGGTGAGATGGGTGAATGGCAGGCCCGTCTCGCTGGCCTTTGTCCACGGACATTTCTTAGTGATAACTCAAAGGGCCACAAATTTCCAGGGACACTGGCCGCGTGGATGAAACTGACCATCACAACCAGAGGAGCTTAATCAAGTGACCTCGTGTGCAAAACAGATAAACACGGGCCTCTCTTCGCAGCAGCTCGCCCGCGCGCCTATAAACACCTCGCCAGCCGCTGGAGTCGTGGCCGGGGCCTGCTGCCCTTCCTCTGCTGGTCTCGATTGTTCGACTGTTCGGGGCTGGCCCGGTGCCCCGGCGGGAAGGCCGCCCTGCAGGGGCTTCGCGCGGGCGCCTCCCGCCAGCTGCTTATTGCTTCCTGCGGGGCTCAGCTCACCTGCAGCCCCGGCTGCTCCCCGGGCGCTTTCTACCTGCTCAGCACTAACGATTAAACCAGAGGGTCCCCCCGCACGCGTGCACCTCAGGTAGGGGGAGGCTGTTCCCCGCCTGTTCCAGCGCAAGAACCGTGGGAAGTCGCCTGCTGTGAGAGTGGCTGTCCCCCCAGACGACAGGACACTCGTTCGCAAATTAATTTTGCTCAGAATGTGTCCCCTCTCCGACCGGGGCGGTTTCTTGTGCGTGGATCTCAGCCAGAGAGGCCTCTGACTTCTCAAAATGATAACGGCCTCGTGACACCCGGGCGCCCACGTGGTCGTGGTGAAAGAAGGGGCTGTTTAGCTTGGAAGGCCTTTCAGTCCGGGGAGATAAAAGCCCGGGTGGAGGGAGTGGGCGTGCGAGGGAGTCGCAGTGGCCTTCAGAAGATGAAGTGTTAACGTGCAGGGGATGGGGACCAGCTGGTTTGCATCTCGGCCCAGAGCTGGCTGGAGGAAGCGGCCCACGGCTGCAGGAGGACTCTGGGGGGCCGCTTGAGAGAGGCTGTCCCTCCTGGGGAGACGGGGCCCACGCTGGAGGAAACGGAGCCGACAGGGTTTCTCGGGAGAGATGGGGAAGGGGCCCTGAAGGAGTTAGGGGTCCTGTAAAATTCCCGAATGAGGGGCGCTCCTACATGCACCCTTAGGGGGTCTCCTTCCAGGGCCCACGGCCATCACCCTTCTCAACAAATCGCTGTGACGTGCGCTCAAAACACAGTCACTGTGCTGAGAGGAGTCCAGCTGCCTCTCCCTCTCCGCA